AAAACAAAAAAAATATAAAAAAAAAAAAAAAAATCGTAAAATGGTCTGTACCTCTTGTGATCACACCACAGTATTACTGTAGTTGGCAGTAATTTCCCCCCCCCCCAAAAAAAAGAATATATATATATATATATATATACATTTTTAATGAAAGTTTTTTTTTATTTTTTATATTGAAGTATTTGGTTTATATCAGAGATGACATTACAGATACAGATCTGAAGAAACAATTAAAGAAACAAGCTGCTCTCTCTAGTTTATGACACCCACTTATTTTCCATTGCGCATTTTTCTATTTTTCAAATAAGATAGACCATTATGACTTCACATTGTAATGTGATGTTGGTAGTGGTAGAGACACCATAAACCTTTATGTTCAAGTCATTGTGTATTTGTTCTTCAGGATCAGACATAATGGGGATGCATTTGAGAGAAGTACAATGACAATTAGGTGTAAATATTAACATGGGACAATAACAAAACATGACTTCATGTTAACTTTCAATTGTACTTTGCTTTTAAAAAAATTCAATCAAAACTCATTTTGAAGTTCACATAAAATACATACAATTTGTATGGTATCATTATTTTTGAGCATATGGGAATTAGGCATAAACTGGTTAAATATGAAAAATGTATTAATCACATCAAAATGACATACTGTAGACCCCACAGAAGTGAAGTGAGAAGTGGTTTTAATATGATTAACAACTAAGTGGTTGGTTATTATCAGACAATTTTGTCTTTATTTTAAGCAAATAAATAATTATTAAAATAAAACATTAAATAAATAAATTCATCATACATCAATCATTAAAACCAGCATTTTTTATGCTGTAATGCTGGTTGTTTTACCAGCATTACTATTAAATAAGCAATTTCTAAAATTATAAGTTACACCTTTTATAAAAATGAGAGATTGAATATCTACATTTAAATGTTCATAAATTCTGTTTTTTTAAGTTTGGTTGTTCAATCCAACCAAATTGATCATTTTTGCCCATAATAGACCCTTTTCACAGACTGATTACACTTTTCAACAGTTATTAACATTTATAGTAAAGTTTTTTTTAATATATTTTCATTATTTTAATGCAATGGCTTAGAGAGCGACAGCAATTTTGACATCTTTCTCTCTTATCACCATAGTCTATCACTCAATTAATTTCCTTTTTTTTGTAAAGTCATAGAAACATTGTTTTTATCCTTAGCTTTTGGAGCAGCTGGGAACACAAAAATGATATTTATGGTTGTTTCTATTCACCACTATAGTTTAGCCACCTATGACTTCTGCTTCTTAGAACCCCAGAAATGTGCAAAGGGTCCATACCTCCTTACTTCTGATCAGTGACTCATACTTGTAGCAGCAACAACAATGCTCAGGGTGGCAGTAGAGAGCTGTGTCTCTGCTGAACTGAGCATTAATGGAAGAAAGGCCCTTAATACTGTTTCCAATTTTGCCATGGAAATATCAAATATACACAAAACCATCAGCCCATGTATGTCTGAAATCAAAATTCATTGCATGATGACTGACAGTCCCTGAATGTGGGGGTGTACTATGACTGAGGAAAGCCATTAGGAGAGTTTCTGGGCGATCCATTTTCCCAGACAGTATCAGTGCTCACTGCCCATGGCAGAACAGCTGTGTTAAAATCATTTACTGTCAAATATCTATTGAATCAGGATCCATTACTATGCTGGCAGAGTATATGCATCTTTAATTTGATTGAATTATGGTCACAACAATAAAAGCAAAGCCTAACTATTATAAACTGTTAAAAGTTTAATGACTATTTAAATACTACATAATAAACATAGCGAGGAAACACATTAAAATGTTATGGAATAATATTATACACATACACTACCATTCAAAGTTTTTTTTTTTAAAGAAATTAATACTTTTATTCAGCGAGGACGCACTAAATCAACCAAAAGTCACAGTATAAGGTCACAAAAGATTTCTATTTCAAAAATAAATTCTATTCTTTTTAACTTTCTATTAGTCAAAGAATTCTGAAAAAATGATGACAGTTTCCATGAAAATATGAAGCTGTTTTCAATATTCATATTCACATTCATATAGAAAACAGATATTTTACACTGTAATAATATTCCACAATATTACTGGTTTTACTGTATTTTTGACCAAATAAATGCAGGCTTGGTGATAGAGGCTTTCTTCAAAAATTTCACAAAATCATACCAATCCCAAACTTTTGAATGGCAGTGTATTTTAAAATATTATAAATATTATAAAAGATAACAGCATGTTGTTCAACTGGTGCGGTGCAGTGGTGTGGTGAACTGGGTTTCTATATAGAGTATTTTAGCATGACGGTTTTGACCAATCAGCAAGATCAGTTTAATCATTGCAAATATCACAAGGAAACCCCCGGTACTACCGAAATTCTGCACAACGGGTTAATGGCTTTTTTTCCCCCAGGGGCGCAGAACATCTTAATTCATCTATTTATTATCCTTCTTCAGCTTCTCCACACAAAACGACCCAGAAGCCCCTCTCATCTCTGCTACCACACTAAGAACAGTGCTTCTCCTTGAGTTTAATGGCCTCAGATCCAGCTGTGCTCTACATTGGCCTGTGTTTATCAGCGGAGGCCTGACATCTCAAAGCTGCTCTGCTAATGACATCATAATGTCCTTCTCTATCTTTGACTGTATCCGCACAAAGACGCAGTCAAACGCGGCTGCTCCGGCAGAGGGAAATAACCGCTATCAGTGGATGTTTACACTCAGATGACAGGGCATTCAATGAGACTCAACAAGCTATTTAATAAAATTTCATTTCGAAGGCAATCTTCAATGAAAACATACGCACAGATAGCACAACTGTTTGGAGTTTAATTAAAGCGGGTCAAATCAACAAGGGCTTTGCTGCAGAGGCTTGCAAAGCTCAGGGCCAATTGCAGTCTGGATCAGATAAAGTCTTGAGCCTGTGTGTGTGTGTGAGTAAGGAATGGCTCACTGCTGTGTGACACTTGAAAGTCCACATCAACCTGATTCTCAAATTGCAGTGTTACAAAGTGGACTTGATGGTATTTCGGTCATTTGTTTTCACATGTGGCTTTGATTCACTAATGACATATATAACGTAGCCACTTAAAAGTTGATAAATTTAGATTCAGGGTCAACGAGTACATAAAGCTAAAAGACTCTGTTTGCTTTAAAAAGGACATACTCCAACACCAAAGACCTACTTTAAAGAAATATTACATATAATCTAAGGCATATTGTCAGCTACAATAGTAAATAATTTAAAGTCAGCATGAAAGGAAAGTTGCAATCTTTTTTTCCTTATCGTAACATAAATTGAACTGAAACTGCTTCTTGACCAAGAAAAATGTAGGGTGGGACTTAATTATCCATCCCCAATTAATTAGATCATTACAGTTGATTTGGCAATTTCATGGTGACTTAAACTCATCTATCAGCTTG